CAACTATGTCACAGTGCTTCTCAAACAGTCATGAATCCATCCTTACATTTTCACTTAGAAATCAGGAGTTACTAATGGCATAAAGACCTGATAGACAGGAGTATTAGGTAACTTCTCTTATGCCTGCATTGGGAGGCCTCTGGTATAACACAGATTTACAAGTCTTAAACCAGCACCTTAATCATGTTTTATACAAAACCTAAACATGAAAACAGCTTTAAAATACTCAAATTAAATCGTCTTAAAGATTAATTTAATTAAAAAATGTGGTGCCTCGTACCCGAAATACGCTTCCAAATCACTTCAGTAATTAGCTTTTCTCCACACAAAACATCACTGTTTTAACTGTAGTTTTGGGACTTTCCAGGTCTGCAAGAACATTATCCTTCTGGACTATTATAATGGCTGGAATATACTGGATGAACAAACACAGAGAGGATCAGATCTCCCTTGAGCACTGGCCCAACATATGGTCCTGCACATTTGAAAGATGGTGTTTGGGATAGTCTGCTGCATATTCTTAAGATGACTGCTCTTCTGCTGTGAGAAAGAGGGTTTTTTCTTATCCCTAAAATGACTGTCTTCAATAAGTGGTGATTCACTGAACTAGCCCTGAAGCTGCCTTTGGAAGCTCAGTATTCAAAAACCATCTGTGCCAGCAAGTACCAGGAGAGGGCTTTCACTTGATATTTAAACAAATTATACCCTCAGATATTTCAAACATATACTCTGTATTTATGTATTTTGGGGTACTAGCCATAGGTCTCAATGAAAAAGCAAATTATTATTACTATTATTAAATACAGCAAAATATTTGCATTTAAATTCTACACTTTAATTCCATAATAAAAAATTAGGGACTTGGAAATATGCAAATTCTGCATTCATGCCACCTTAGCACTACCCAGATATTTAACTTGTAAAAGCTACCTGACCCAATCTTGGGATGGTTAATCCTTTTCTTAAAGCTTTAACTCTCACAATTATGTGAAAATACCTATTTCATAAACAAAACCAAATTTGAATCCTAACTCTTAAAAGCCTTACAATTCAGGATAAAAACCATTGAAAATGTGACCTGGATAGGTCTGAAGTCAAACGAAAAGCAACTCAGGTAAACAAAAGCAACTCAAAACTTCCTATATTTAATCTGACATTAGAGGTGCCTAAGGATGCTCACTAAAGAGCTGAAGTGGTTGCTGTCTTGTACATTGTAACCTGTATATGTGACCCACTGCCCTCCCTCTGCCTCCACTGCAGGGGTACCATGTGTGTCCCTGCACATGGTTCAGGACTGTCAGATACCCAACTTGATAATCATGCATCCAATTCCAAGAAGCTGTAACTTTTTCCAAAAAATTTGGTCTACTGTTATTAAATAAATGGAAATTCCCTAAAAAATTCTGCAAATGCAATATTTTCAACTGCAAGGCAGAGAAGCTGAATCCTTCCAAAGGTATCTCGTTTCTCTTTACCTCTTCTCTTTTCCTCTTGATCTAAACCACATTATAATAATAAGCAGGCTGAATTACTGATGAGCTGCTGCTGCTACAGAGGCAGCTGTGTTTGCAGCAGATCATCTAAAATACCAGAAGACAAGAAAGGCACTAAAAAGGAAGCGAATGAAGTGCAGGTGATCTCACGTTTGCTGCCTCTGTCTTGCTGGAAGTTCCTTTCCAGCGCTCACTGGGCTCTGGGCCAAACTGCTTCAACAAGCTAAGCAGGAACTATTCACTTTTTATTGTTGTTAGGTTAGTCTTTTCCCTATTTATCACATGGAAATGGGTTAGCTCAGGGTATAACAAGAGCCAGAGCCAATCAAAGGGAAGAGGCAGGAATGCACTACCAGGGATTGGGATCGGGGTCACAGTCAGATTGGCTCAGGCTACTGACAGTCTGCAACTGGGCACACACGTGGTGGCAGTGCCATTTCAGAACATCCAGCTCCTGCTCATCCACTTTTCCAGAAAATATTTTTTCCCATTTTTTTGGAAAGGCATTTTTATATGGTGGTGGCATGTAGAAAAAAAAATAAAATTTTTAAAAAGCATGTAAAAATAATCTCACTCCAAAACTCCCCATTTTCCATGTCCCCAAGTAAAAGTAGTCAAAAAAAAGCTAGCTGTAGTAGTACAGAAGAGAAAAATGATGGGCCTGGTCTTATAATCCTCCCACCCAAAAAAAAAGTCTATTTAGCTATGGCTTGAAAACGAGTCAGGAAGTCCAAATGAGCACTGGCAATGTGAGACAGAAAACAAGTTTAAAGAAAACACTCTCGAACAAAGTGCTGGTGGAAAATATAGGCAATTATGAGTACAAGCTTTTCCACATTTATAAAAGCTGTAGAAGAGACTTCTCTCTATACAACAACCAGTACTTGAACACAGAAACACTAAGCTTTTCCATCAGCTTTTTGTCTTAAACAGAATATCCATCAGTAGCCCCTAAATTGACCTCCTGCTCAGATCAAAAGGGTATCATTAAAAAGATCCGATTTCCAAAGAGAAATTGTGAGCTGGTATTTCTGTTAAAACAAGAAGCTGGACTGAAACCCAACACTTCTCATTGAAAAATGGCCAATGCAACAAAGTAAAATATCAAACAAGAGTTAGTTCAGAAAGAGAGAAAAATGTACCACACCAGGGTGGGATGATTTGTAAATTATTTCTTTTTGCATCAGCATACGGGCAGTGTCTCAGCTGCAACAAAAGCAGACATGTAAGTAAAAAAAGATTAATGAGGAGATTAGCAACTTCAATTCAAAAACTGGCTATTTTGATTAAAAAAAAAAAAAGGCAGGCCAAGGAAGCTCTGGCCAAGTCAGACCTTGCTAGCAGAGATTATCAGTAGCAAGGGCTTTAAGCAGCTTAGAAATTGCTTAGAGAAATCAGTGTCATAGACCACAGTGGAGGTCAGAGATCTGAAGGTGGATGTCAGTACCACAGAACAGCCTCATAACAATGTTTATAGTCGCCAGAAATCCAAAGAAGAGATATCAGACAGTCTTAGACAAAATATACAACATTTCACTACCTTTTACAGCAAAACATCTTGGGGGAGTTGAGTTTATTTCTGCATAGCAGCCCTAAAATGAGCTCAGAAGAATACCAGAAAGGGAGTTTCTAGCAGCCAACTTGTGTGACAGCTTCTAACAGCACTTTAGGTCCTGTTCCCCAGAAAAGACATTGAATAATGCAGATACAGCATCCAAGACCTTGAAATCAGCTTGCAGCCAGGCATCTCTGTGAGCTGGCCAGGATGGTTAGAAGCTGGGAGAAACAGGATGGGAGCAATTCTGTCTGAACTGGCACACAATTCATGGCTCCAGGAAATCCATGTATCGGCAAAAACTCCAAGGATAATTTGCCAATTGAACAATACAGTTGTTTAGCAAAATTTGGGCTAGGTGAGCAGCAAAAGGAAGTAAAAATCTCCAGAAGCCTTTGAAATTCGCCACAGACCTTTATCTTTCCTTGAAGCATTGTACCAGGAGATAAGGAGCTTCTAGGGAGAGAGGGAAGCTGTTCATCAATAACCCATTCGGGCAGAGAGCTCTGAATAAAATGTTGCACTGAAGGTGACCACAATTTTGTCCATCAAACTGTAAAAGCTTACAAAAGGATCATTCTTTTTAAAAAGAGCCAATAGACAATAAAAATCAAATTCTGATACTTGGGAGAAAATATTCCCTTGGTCAAGTGAAGACAAGCAGGGAAGGTACACTTGGTAAAATCTGAAAGGATCCATGTATTATTAGAAGGTTCAAATTATTTTTAAATGAGTGACAGCCAAAGCTGTCACTGTCCAGTTGAGCTTCTAATAAAGCTTCTTCTGGCCTGTTGGTGTGAGATTTCTTGTAGGTGCATATGGAGAACAAAATTCTTTACCAAACATATGACAAGGAGGGAATAACAGGACAACACAAAACACAGGGAGGTCCCTTAGTCTGAAACTAATTTCACCAGAAACAGGAGCACCTCCTACATATTTGGAGTCCTAAGTCAAGTTTAGAATGTAAACAAGATCCACTTCTGTTCCTAGTTCAGCTAATTCCCTAGCACTAATCTTAGCACATGAAAAGAGAGAAGTCAGATAAAAGCTGTCCAAAATGGGAAACAAAAAGGCCTTTGGAAATGCCTGGCATTTCGACAGTCAAAAGTCTGAGCCAAAACTGTTAGTTTAGTTATTCAAAACAAAATGTTTGCCTTTTCCTTAGAACAGGCATATAATAGGGAGAATTCCTCTGACTCCACTGTGTAGGCAGAGCAGGAACAAAAGCACCCAACTGTATCTGTGCTGAGCAGCACAGGGCTCTTCCCAGCTACCCAAGGTCCTGCAGCCCTGTCACCACAGTTCTGCACCTTGGTTAACACACACCAGGCTTTGGATGACCTTGCATTCCACTGTGCAGTACAGCTACTGCTCCATCTGAGATAACAGGAGAATTGTGCTAACAAATCTGCTTCTACTTCTGAGCATGGTCTTCTCATTAAAATTTCATACAACCGAGCATGATCATAAACTTATCTTTGCAGGGGTGGGGGACAACCTGACATTCTGTAAGAAGTTTTGACACATATTTGTCACAAAGCCACACTTACTGGTATTACTACAAGCTCTTGGTTCCAACTGTGAGACTATAGTTATATTTTTCTGGATACTTCTTCACTCCCTACTCTTTTTTTTTTTTTCATTTTCCTTCAGATTATGCAGAGCAGAAAACAGGTACAAAGGCAGTGAGTAGTTTAAGACCTACACTTCCCATTCAAATATTTTAAAAATATTCTTTAATTATCTGCTGAAAGTTAATACTTGAAAATACAGCTAAGAGAAGATGGCATTTTAACTGTGGCAAGATAAACTGGACTCACGGTCCTTCTAATTGAGAAATGTGCCTTTTCAAGTTACACTGTTCACTGAAAACAACCGGATGAAGCAACTCTAGCTGTTCCTACGAGGTTAAGGAGTAATAATCTCTCTCACTCTATACAGGGACATACCTCCCCTCCTATGGAGAGCAGTCCAGGTGTATCCAGCTTCCGTTTCTTGCGGGGACCGATCGCTGCCAGTGCCGTGAGATTGGCATCCCTCTGCCTCATCTGTGCCAGTTCTTGTTGCTGCATCTGGTAGAAAGAGGAACAACTCACTTTAGTTTTTATTCTGTTGTCACTTCGAAATGTTCTTTTCAGACCTGTAAGCACAAGGCAGAAGTCACACATGACCAACCCCTGACAGCACCTTGCTGTTCCCAGCCACTGTTCCTAGAGGAATAACGAAGATACAGAAGTTCTCATGACTTTTCACAGGATTTCTGCTTCCAAATAACTCAACTGATTTTGGAAACTCCATCCTTCTCATTAAAAAGTGCCTTAGTAAGTACTACATACTAACTACACATCTCCAGTTTAATACTGACATGAAGAATGTAAATGCCCATTCAAATATTACGAAAAATTTTTTCATCTCATTATTTATTTTAAATGTTTCAAATACTCAATATTTTCTTTAAGAAAATCTAAATTAATAAAACACTTCTATCTAAACACTAGCTGAAGGTAATACTGACACAAAACCTCTACAACCCAAATTTACAGCTGCTTTCTGGGATTAAGCTTTAGGTACAAACACATTTGACTAGTTTGAAGCTAAGAACTAAATAACCTGCCAGCTGCACTATGTAACAAAGTAACATGCTACAGAAGATAAGAGAAAATATTCCAGCCAGCACAAGAGAGGCAAGATTATATCTGCACCATAAACTGTATAATCCTTTTGAGGAGTTAATCTAAGTGTCAGAGTCCCATGAACACTATTACTTTAATAAATATTCTGATCATCAATACTACACAAGAATAATTGATTAGGTAACGCAGTATATTATTTTAATTAGATAAAAGCATTCATAGCTCTCAGCAACAATTCTTATTAATTTCAACACTTTGGGTTTGCAAAACCCCTCAATAAATTGTGAGGAGGTGTTTGCTTTCTAATCCCACTGATGTCATACTTGTTCCTGCTTCAGCAGCAACACACAGATCACCACCTCAAGAAATTCAGTGGTGGTATTAAAACAATGTATGATACAGGCACAGTTCTTCATTAAAATAAAACTGAACTGACAAGCACAGATAGAAGTGTCTCAGCCATCACCTACATGTGACCTGCACATACAAGCAGAGCCTGAACGATCTTGGCCGATGTTAAAAGGAAAGGAGGTTTAAGCTAAAAAGTGCCAGTGTCGGGTATTTTTCTCCATTCATATCTCCCCACAAAAAGCAGGTCCACCTCCCATTAAGCACAGTTTTCAGATTTATTCATTTAGCAGTGCAACATACTTGTGACCAAGCATCATGAACAGCTTTGGTCACAGGCTCCCCAGGGAGGGCTTTCAACTCAGGCTGCCAGTGGAGGCCCAGCCCAGCCCAGGGATGCCAAGGCCAACACACGCCCAGAGCCTGAGGAGGGACTGCAGGGGAACCCAAGAGCACCTGAAGAGGAACTGCAGCCAGCAGGTCAGTGCATCAGGGCCCAAACCCCAACACAGTGCTCCAGGGTGGCCTCAGCAGGGCCCAGCACAGGAGACGGTCACTGCCCTGGTCACTATTTCTGACACAAGCCAGGATGCCCTTGGGCTTCTTGGCCACGTGGGCACACCCAGGCTCATGTTCAGCTGCTGTCAACCAACACCCCCAGGAGCTGTTCTGAGCTGCAGTCAGTGGCTATGTCCACATGGAGACTGGTGACAACTGGTGACCTCAGGGGTCAGGATTGGGACTGGCACATTTTCACATCTTTGTCGATGACGTGGACAGTGGGATCGATGCACCCTCTCCAGGTGTGCTGCCAGCACCCAGCTGTGTGGTGCAGTCACACGCTGCAGGGGAGGGATGCCATCCTGAAGGTCCCTGACAGGCCTGAGAGCTGGGCCCCTGCAAACGCCGTCAAGTTCAACACCAAGGGCAAGGTCCTGCATCTGGGTTGGGGCAATCCCAAGAAAAAAACACAGGCTGGGTGGAGAACAGGCTGAGGAGAAAGCCTTGGGGATGTTGGTGGATTAGAAGTTTGACACGACCCGGCTGTGTGCACTGGCAGCCCAGAAAGCCAACCCTGCCCTGGGCTCATCCCACAGCGTGGGTAGCAGGGAATTCTTTCCCTCTACGCCACTCTGGTGAGACCATCTGCAGTGCTGCCTCCAGCTCTGGGCCACCAACACAAGAAGGACATGGACTCACTGGAGCCAGTCCAGAGGAGGCCACCAGAGAGCTGGAGCCATGAGCAATGGCTGAGAGAACTGGGAAAGGCTGAGAGCCTGCAGGAGAGAAGGCTCTGGGGAGACCTCACTGTGGCCTTCCAGTACTTAAAGGGGTCTTACAAGAGAGCTGGAGAAGAACTTTTTACAAGGGCAAGTAGTGACAGACAAGGGGAAATGGCTTCAAACAGAGTGGATTTGGATTAGATACAAGGAAGAAATCCTTCCCTGTGAGGGTGGGGAGGCCATGGCACAGGTTGCCCAGAGAAGCTGTGGCTGCCCCAGCCCTGGAAGTGTCCAAGGCCAGGTTGGATGGGGCTTGGAGCAACCTGGGATAGTGGAAGGTGTCCCTGCCCATGGCAGGGAGTTGGATTAGATGATCTTTAAGGTTCTTTCCAACCCAAACCATTCTATGTTTTTACATTCTTCAGAAAAAGTGAATTTAGTAGTTAAAAGTTTGAAACCCTATTTTTTGCATTTTTATGCTATATATTCTGCAACTTCAGTTATTACCATAACTCCAGCTTAACATTATCTAAAAATACATATTGCATCTAGAGGAGAAAATAATTTTCTAAATACAAAAAAGAAACTCAGAAAAATATCTAAATAATAGTGCAAAGGTCCATACATACTTCTCTTTGCCAACTCATATTAGGTTTTTAGCTCAAATATCTTTGGCTCTCTTCCAGATTAAATGCCAGTTAGACAGACCTGCCCGCTTACCCTTTCAAGGTAGATAGCAACAGTGGTGAGCTCTAATCATTTACAAAGGTCATGATCGGAAGCCAGCCCGTAAGCAGTCATTTAAAATTCGATTGATCCCTATTTGTAGTCAGGGAAAGAAAATGGACATTTCAGCTGTATTGTAATTATGAGGCTTCAAGGCAACTGTAAATAGATGTGCAAATCCAGATACTGGCAAATACCTTAGAGAAGAAATTATTACTATAGTACAACATATATCCAGGAAAGGTTGAAGATAAAACTGCATATAAAAAAAGATCAATCATCTTTTTGCTAATTTGCCATGCTTGCCAGCCTATAAGGGTTATCACAATTATCAGAAGTCTGATGAATATTTAAGAGAGGGCCAAGTGGCTCAGAGTGATCTCAGAAGAAGTTGTCAAGCTTTGCAGAATAAGAAATTTTGCACTGGAGTAAGTATTCGTTTCCTGGGAGGTGCAGGTCAGAAATGCAGTCTAATAGATAACTGGTATCATGCAAAGGTTATATGAATATTATATGAATATCTTATCCAAAGGCACCATTTTCAAACCCACAGGAGCTAATACTTACTTGGCCCTCTGTACTACCTTTACTGCAAAATACCATGATTGTTTCAACATGGAATATATGCACAATGCCTTTTTTTTTTTTTTTGCACATGTAAAACATGCCTTTTCTCTAAATTCCCCATAGTGGGATAAATCCTGCCCTCCTTGAAACCTGCAGTGTCCAGTGCTGTTCTACCAAGAAAACATGCACAGCTTCAAGAGTCTGCAGAAGGGTTTGCACTCATATATTCCTCAGGTTCTTCGTCCTTTCTTTTTTAACCAGTGAGAAGAGCTGAAGATAGCTCTTGATATCATATACTAAGTTTTGACACATTCACAAGATTTTCCGCTACCTATAATTTCAGCACCTGACAAGAAACCCAAGAACAACAGCCAGAGCCAAAGGAGCTGGGCTCTCTTCCACCTCACTGGGTGAATACTGGTAAGACGTTTTTCTTCACCTCCCTGTGCCTCTCACCCCACATCACCCAGCTTGTCTATTCATGCTATCAGCTCTCCAGACAAGGATCCTCCTCTACTACGTGCCTCACTTATAATCAAGCCCCAGTGGGATGAATAGACACTACTTTAATACAAATAAGGAATATGCTGCCAGGTACAAAAGCTCCAGACAGAAGCACAATACAGTTTCTGGTACTGGTTTTACAGTACACACCATGGTAAACTGCAGCAGGAAAGAACCACCTTATGTAAACCTTCATGAATGCTGATCAAAACATTTCTGATACATCAAACACGTGCATCATCAGTGAGATCACAGCATCCTGATGCTTTATAAAATAAGGACTGAAGTGCTGAAATACTTGATAAATACTGTATTGCACAAATTCACATCAATCTTTTAAAAATTATCACTGGTGGGGTTTGGGGTTTTTTTTAAAGCTCACCCAAAGGCAGAGGATTGTAAAATTACATTTAAAAATAATCAAAAGAACTATGATCCTGATACTGGTTACCAACAGAGGCCTTCTTCTTGCAGTGGTTACTGTGCTCCAGTTGACTTAGGAGAACATCTCCGCACTGTTAACTGTGAATTTGTTTACAATAAAACATCTTTGCAATTTATGGATACTTATAGCAACACATTTGACAAGATTCCTGGGTGTTATTTAACATCCCAGAGCAGACTGACCATCACTGTTGGCTTCTTCATACCCCCATTCCAACTTTGTCTTCTCTCCAAGTCACATACTGTTTTTTCACAGCCTACATCAGATGACCTGCACCAGTCTCTTTCCTACTTATTATCTGTTTCTTCGTCAAAAAAATGATCCTCAATCGTAATTTTTGTTTAAAATAATAAAAAGAAGGCAGTATCTTGGCTTTGGTTGAAAAGAGAAGACACTGCACTTTGTCCTCTAATGCCAAATGCACAACTCTGCCCTGTGGAGGCTCTTCTCCCCAGTGTCCTCTGGAGCCACACTCTCTGTGTCACGTGGAAATGGCTTTGCAGCCAGTTTTGCACACCTGGTTCCACAGTAATCACCCTCTGAACTCTCAGGACTAAGAATAATGGGAATTAAATGCAGCCACTTGCAGTGTTCTAAAGTGACTCTTAAAAGCATCTGTAAAATTA